AAAGTGTAATTGATATACAAAGGGTGAAGTGAGCAAAGTGTGATGGATACACTAAAGGTGAACAAAAAAACACTACTTTCAGTTATGGCCTGAGGTCAGATATACAAGAAAGAGAGGCTAGCCTATCTTTAGCAACTTCTTGGACCAAATTTGCTGCATCCTAGCCTCTGAGAAGACCTCCAAGCTGCTGTAAATGGAAGTGGTGGAGTGGTGCTAGGTGAAAAACAAAAACAAATTAAAATTACAGATGTAATTGTTGGGCACTTTGATTAAATTTTTATTTTTTCCTAATTTATTCGCCTAGAACCAAATGAAAAGGTAAAAGTAAGAACCACATTGCTCTCAATTTTAGTCATTCTGAAGTATTGAATAGAACATTGCAAGCTGAGGAAGACAAATAAAAGCAAAGCAAGATCAACTTTAATAGACTATTTAGCTCATTGAAATGAGATAGAATGAAATGAAATGGTGGTTTTTTAAATTTTTCTATAGAATAATTATTTCCTTAAAATGGTGAAAGATAATTTTATTTGTAGTGTCGTTGTCATTGTTTTTTTTAGTCTAACCAAATATAAGAATTGATATTTTGATGAAATAATCATTTCATTTAACTCAATTTTAGTCTCGACCCAAATTAAAAAGCAAAAGTAAGAACCACTGCTCTCAATTTCAGTTATTCCGTAGTATGGAATAAAACATTGCAAGCTGAGGAAGACAAATAAAAGCAAAGCAAGATCAACTTTAATAGACTATTTAGCTCATTGAAATGAGATAGAATGATTGACATGGTGATTTTTTTAATTTTTTTATGGAATGACTGTTTCCTTAAAATAGTGAAAGATAATTTTATTTGTAGTGTCGTTGTCATTGTTTTTTTTAGTCTATGAATTGAAAAGAAACCTCTCCTTTAATTAAATAATAAACTTACATATATACCAATATATCAAAAAAATGGACCCTTCATTATTTAGGGCCTAAGGCGAGGGCTTGAGTGCCCTCACTTGGGCCGACCATGACCGCGACACCAATGTGAATGAGGTTGGATTTTTTAGTAGCTTTCTTATTTGATTTGTTTAATTTTTATTGATTTTATTTATTTATTTTAATTTTTGATATTTATATTTTATATATTTTTAGGTTCTAGTCAAGTAATTGGTATAGATAAGTAAATAAATAAATAAATAACTTTAAAAAAAAAAATTTACTGAATACAAAAAAGTTAAAAGAACTATATAAAAAAATTATTTTAGATTTTTCTATACTAGATAGATTAGAAAGTAAATTTTCTTTTTACACAAATTAAAAAAAATACTAAATACAAAAAAAAAATAAAAATAAAAATAAAAATAAAAATAAAAATTAGAAAAAAATGAGATTTTTTAAAGTTGGAATGCCAAACCAAACCAAAGTTTGAACACATGACAATAGTTTTTATGCTCGAATATGGTGTTTGGAATACTTATCGATCGAATTCATGTTCTTTGATGCATATACAGGATATAATTAGGATTTTATCAATATAGGGCCATTAAGAAGCCATTGGAGTGGGTTCGAGCAGGCTATTTTTTTTTTTTTTTTTAAAAATAGTTTAAATAATTATTGAAATATATTTAATGTATAGATAATTATATTTTTTAAAATTCAATAGCCTCATTGTCCTACATTGGCAAAACAAGAATGGAAGAGGTATTTCACTCTTGTATAAAAAGAAATAATGACAGTGAAAATAAAAATTACATAGAACATACAATTAATATACAAATTTAACTCTTAAAAAATATAATAACAAATTCTCGGCAAATACACGAGAATAAAGGCAAATGATTTAAAAGCCCCCTGTATAGGCTGGGTGCACCCTTGTTTGAGACCAACAATTGCTATTATATGTTGGTTCCTTAGGAAGCATATAATATTCTACTAGAGTTACAAATTAATCTAGAATTAAAATGGTAAAATAAACTAAATTGCCTAAGAAAAACAAAAACAAATTAAAATTACAGATGTAATTGTTGGGCACTTTGATTAAATTTTTATTTTTTCCTAATTTATTCGCCTAGAACCAAATGAAAAGGTAAAAGTAAGAACCACATTGCTCTCAATTTTAGTCATTCTGAAGTATTGAATAGAACATTGCAAGCTGAGGAAGACAAATAAAAGCAAAGCAAGATCAACTTTAATAGGCTATTTAGCTCATTGAAATGAGATAGAATGATTGACATGGTGATTTTTTTAATTTTTTTATGGAATGACTGTTTCCTTAAAATAGTAAAAGATAATTTTATTTGTAGGGTCTTTGTCATTGTTTTTTTTAGTCTAACCAAATATAAGAATTGATATTTTGATGTAATAATCATTTCATTTAACTCAATTTTAGTCTCGAACCAAGTTAAAAGGCAATAGTAAGAACCACTGTCTCAGCTTTAGTCATTCCTAAGTATGGAGTAAGACATTGCAAGTTGAGGAAGAAGAATAAAAGCAAGCAAGAACAACTTTAATAGAATATTTGGCTCATTCAAATGAGACAGAATGAAATGAAATGGTGATTTTTAAAATTTTTCTATGGAATGGCTATTTTCTTAAAATGGTGAAAGATATTTTATTTGTAGTGCATTTGTCATTATTTTTTTAATCTAACTAAATATAGGAATAAATATTTTGATATAATAATAATAATTTCATTTAACTCAATTTTAGTCTTGAACCAAGTTAAAAGGCAATAGTAAGAACCACGGCTTTAGTCATTCCTGTATGGAGTAAAACATTGCAAGTTGAGGAAGAAAAATAAAAGCAAAGCAAGAACAACTTTAATACACTATTTAGCTCATTGAAATGAGATAGAATGAAATGAAATGGTGGTTTTTTAAATTTTTCTATAGAATAATTATTTCCTTAAAATGGTGAAAGATAATTTTATTTGTAGTTTATTTGTCATTATTTTTTTAGTCTAATCAAACATATGAATGGATATTTTGATGTAACAATCATTTCATTTCACTCAATTTTAATGAAACAAATACTACCCATTGTTAAGCATTCTATCTAAGTGAAATGAGATAGAATGAAATGAAATGGTGGTTTTTTAAATTTTTCTATAGAATAATTATTTCCTTAAAATGGTGAAAGATAATTTTATTTGTAGTTTATTTGTCATTATTTTTTTAGTCTAATCAAACATATGAATGGATATTTTGATGTAATAATCATTTCATTTCACTCAATTTTAATGAAACAAATACTACCTAAGTATTAATTTCACTTTTTACCATTGTGGTGTGCTCTATGTGCATATTGTCCCCCACATTATTTGAAAATAACCACATAATTCTTTTATAATTTGTGAACGGAAATACCCATTGTTAAGCATTCTATCTAAGTTGACAGTAAGTGTAAAGCACATGTCAGGATATAAGAAGGTTATTCCTCATTTTCAATTGTTAAGACGGCAAATCCCACATTGAACAAAGCATAAGGGGCTAAAGTGAATTTTGTCTTCCCAAGAAATGACGGAAATGTTCGTAGTTTGCACAATTAGGGACATTTTAATCTTTTTGCTTAAGTTGTTAACATACTTACCGACGCACTTTATTTCACAAATCACTAGGGTTATATGCACATGGGTCAAAGCACAAGAGATAAATTAAAATTTGCCCAAACTTTAAAAAGAGATTTTTTTATTTTATTTTCTTTTTTTCTGTTCCATTTTTAACAATGCCTTATGCTATGTTTGGTTCACCGATATAAAATAGAATTGAATGATCATTTTAATATAATATCCAATCTCACATTTGATTCACTAAAAAATGATATAAGAAAAAATGTAGGGTAAATTATTGTGTGAATTAAAACATTAAAAGAGTCCAATATAATTATGTTAAACTATGGGTCTTACTATAATTTCACCAAATCTTAGGGGAGGTCAGTTTAATTTACTCCAAAATGTTTACAAATGATATTATCATTTGTTATTATAAATTTATCATTGCAAGGAAATAGTCATTACATAAAGAGGTTACAAAATGACCATTCAATTTCACTAAATGAACCAAAAATTTGTGTTTGGATTAAAGTTCTAAGTAAAAATTGGTGTTGAGGGAAATGAAATCGGAAGGAAAAAGTGAAAAAGAAGTTAAAAATTTGAGACTCATAATTTTAAGTTCTATAATTGTACCAACAATGATATTGCTAAATGTTTACTTTTTTATTTTAGACCTCTCACTTCTTTGAACCTCCACCCACTTAATTGAATCCTTCTCATTTTCTCTTTGAACTCTCACCTTATTTCCAAGTATACCCTTGTTCTTTGGAGCATCAACTCTTCTTCTGGCAACTCCTCCCTACTGCCGGCAACCCCTCATCGTTAGTGACCTTCATTTTAGCGACCTTCATCGTTAGGCCCAATTCATTTGCTATGTCATTGTAGGTAAATTGTGAAATTTAAATTGTGGGTGTGTAGCATTTAAAGTTTTTATTTTGTTTATTTTTTCTTTTATTTTTGCCTTTCCTTTACAAATCATTTCTCAAATTTTTAATCCAAACACAATTTAAATTTACAATAAAAATCCTCCATTATATATATAGAATGGAAAGAATCAAATTTCCTTTTTAAGTGTATACTACTTTACTTTTGTCCTTTGTTTTAATGCAGAGGACATTATTGCAAATTTTGCGTGAACAAATTAAAATAAATAAGTACTAGGAATATTGAATAAAAAGAAAAAAAGAGTAAAGTACATAATTGACACACCAAAGGCTCAAGAACTCTTTTTTTTTAATCATAACGTATCTCCTTTATTTATTTTGTTTCTTCTTTTGTTTCCTATTTCTATTTCAATTACAAGATTACCCGTTGATTTGGTTCATGGTCTTCGTTGTTATATTCTAATTGGAAGGACATTAATGTAAATCTCAAAAAGTGAACCAATTTAATAGAAGTAAAGAGGAATACAAATAATGTTTTTTTCCCTTGCGTGCAAAGCAAGGATTCCTTGCTAGTGTAAGTATATATACTAAAGTTTTGAGTTCATCATGGAATGGAAGTAAGCAATTGGCATACCAACGCAGTGCATAAGTTCCACAATACTCCCGGTTGGTAGAAAAATTGCTCCTTCTTTTTATTGTTTTATTTTATTTTTTTTAAAGTTTTTTTTAGTCACAATATGTCTGGTGTTTTGTTTGACTAATTCCCATATATGTTATCTTCTATGCCATGATTAAATTTAAGGTGGTGTTTGGTTTACTGAAATGAAATGAAAGTAAAATAATAATTTTTTAGTCTCTTCTGCAATTAGGAGTGAGTAGGTGAACCAAAAAATTCGCTATTCGAATCGGTCTAGTCCAATTGAGTAAGTTTGATTTGGTTTTTTTAATCCGTAGTTCTAGATTGGTTTGAAAAATTAGCAATCCGTTGTTTACAGATCGGTTCCAAATTATGATACATGGTTTCGGATTGAATCTGATTTGGACCGTTTACTATCCCATCCTACCATTATACCATACGCCTGCTATATACAATCTTAATTTTTGTATATATATAACTCAAATAAGGAACCCTTCCAAGAAAAGAAAGAGGCGCTGCTCTAAATGGAACTACCACTAGCTATCAATAATCAATTTATTACTGTTACAAATTGGTTTGGGTTGCTGTTGTTGTTGCGTTGTGTTGATGTTTTTCTTGCTTTTTTTATATATATAAATTATTTAGTAACTATTAAATGAGAGTTTCTTTTATATTTATTTATTAGATGATGAACTTATATTTATTTGTTTCATGTTGAATGTTTTTGGAACAATGTTATATAAATTTTATTGCGTGAAACTATGGTTTCAAACAAAACCGATCCGTGTTTAAATGGTTTAGTTTCATAGTTTGAATGGTTTGGATTAGTTCTAATTTTTATAAATCCGTAATTCACGAATTGATTTTGGTTTCATCTCAAATCAGTCCAATCCGGACTATGTTCACTCCTATTTGTAATGTATTTTTGTTTGGGATGAGCTTCTCTCTAATCCAGAGGCATTGTCCGTGATTGTGGGGCCTGCCATGGGCCTTATTTTGATGATATGTGCCGTTCATTTTTTTAGGGTCTTCATGTGTACCATTCATTAAAATCAATTAAATTGATTCGATAATCGTAACATCTCCATTTTATTGTGTTAACTCTAAAAAAATGGATGACGAGTGCATTTTTAAAAATAGATCATTCATTTTTTTTAAGAAAAATGCAATAAAATGAAAATGTTATAATTGTTAGATCGATCTAATTTTTTTTTAATTTTTTATATATACATGATATGCATAAAAAGCCCTAAAAAATGAATAACTCAAATTATCGAAATGGGACCTGAACCCTAATCCAGATGAGGATTGGAGAAAATTATATCCCTTTTTATTTTATTATTTTTATTGAATCCAACGTGAATCTAGACTCATTTGAAATAATCAAGCACTAAAAATGCGGTGTTTGACTTTTTAGAATGAAACCTCGAAATACCCATTCCAATGTTTAGTTTGGAAATAGATTTATCATTTATTAATTTAAGAAAATAATTGGTTCTTTGAAAAATTAAGAAAGATTTTGCTAATGATAGTTATAAGTGCTGACAATAATTAGAAGCATATAAGGACAAAATATTTGTAATTTTAAAATACTTTTTACATATTTTAAAATACATAGATCTATATATATATTTTTTAAATATTTTTTTCACATATCTCTCTCTATATATTTTTTATACATTTTTCAGTACTAATAATAACTCTAAATTTGTTTTAACATTTACCCACATCTCAAGGGAGTAGATACTAATATTTTTTTTTTAAAATCATTTTGGTCGAATCTTAAAATTGTATTATTCTTATATTATGTAATATTTTATCATTTCCCACTATACCCTATTTATTTTTTCCAATTATTTTTTACTTTAAAATATTTATTTTTTCCAATTATTTTTAGTATTTTAGTATTTTTTTTTTTTGATGTGTGAGAATGTGGGTTTTTAGATGACAAAATTATCTATCTTGATTATATTTGTCCAGGGCATTCTTATTAATAAGAAGGATGGAAAGGAAAAATGATGACAAGGCGGCTCATTACCACACCCAACTGTCAATTAGCAAAGAACCAGAAGAAAGCCAAAGCCCCAATACTTCTGATGATGATGATGATAATGATGATGATGATGATGATTCAGAAATCACCAAAGAGCAGCCACCAAATGAGGAATCACATCCACAATCACAATCACAATCAAGTCCTAACTTTGATTCGGATGATAATTCAGAGGAGTCATCAAGTGAGGAACCAGAAACATGTCCAAGGAACTTAGAAGAAGAAGGTGAGACAGCTTTTACACTTTTTCTAGACAAAAATATTTTAAAACTTATTTAGAATTTAAATTGTGTGAATCAAATTCATTATTGATATGTCTCATAACACATTCATTTTATTTTATTTTTTTGTTGAGAAAGATCAAAATGATGAATATCTAATAGAGTCATACAACCATAAAACTTACAGGAAGCTTTGTCAGCCTTTATACATGGCTAACTTAGCTTCATCATGAGCACATTTAACCTTCTGTCTAGAGGCCTTAGATAAACATACATATTCAAAACGATTACAAAAATTAACTTTTTTTCTTTTCTTATCTTCTTCTGATTGGCAAAAGAGAAATTTATTGATAAATATTCGAAATCAATAAAGAAAGCAGATGGGTACAAAGAGTATCATAATGGAACAAAACAATCCCAACTAGGTTGCCACCGAAATTCCCGCCCAATCATATGTTAGTACACCATCAAAAGTTGGTGAGAAACCAACAAATTGAGTGTAATAACCAAAAATACGAAACCGAAGTCTACAGTTATTATAGTTCTTAGGCAACTCATCAGCCCAGCACAGCCATCAGTTCAAAGAAGCAGCCAACCACACTTGTTATTAGATGCATCTTCTCACCAACTGAATATCCCTCACAATATCATTGACAGAATAGAGGCATCCAAGATTATGTGATTTCAACCAAAGTGCTACCCTTACTTTAATTAGGTCACATTACTAAATTTGGTTGCTTATCAGAAAAAATGCACTCATTTCTGCTCTTACACACAGACCAAATTACAGCTGAAGGAACAGCTCTCCAAATCTGCATTTCCTTCTTTCTGAAATTCCAGCTCATCCACCATTGTAGCCAACACTCAACTGATCCTTGTGTTACCCATGGCAGCCCCACCAATGAAATATGCATACCCAGACTTGCCACACAAATGGGCAGAACAACAGAGTACGATTCAAGGACTCTAATTCAGATTTGCAAAACACACATGATAAATCAGCATTATCCCTCGAGACACCTATTCTACTGAGAAAATCAGCTGTTTTAAGTGTTCCTTTCCAGGCTAACCAGACAAACTATATCTTGCAAAAGAGTATGCAACTCGCACTTCACCACCCTCCTTAATTTCTTAATCATCATTAGCAAAATGTTGTGCTAGATGCACCATTTAAGCACTTCCAAGCACGCCTGTGCTTCCGCCACACTCACTGACGATGCAACAAAAGTGAACTACTTCTTCACCATAGGATTTCCAATGTTGTCCAATGATACCCATGTTGCACCATCTTTACGTGATTGCTCTGCATTGTTAGCAATAACATATATAGGAAGATTCAAGAGTAGACTGAATATTATTGCTCATACTTAAAAATTGTTTGTTTGATGGTAAATTCAAATGGTTTATCTAGTCAATCATCCAAGCCGGTTGCACAAGTTGATGTTTAAAGACTGCCTTATTCAGATGAATCCAAATGCCCCATAATACCTTAATAGCAGCCACAATAGCCTCCTCATCTGGTCCATTATGAAACCAGTTTTCTATCCATTATTGTGTCCACTTGCTTTGCCCCATAATTAAAATCAAGGCCTAAACAAGATCCTCGCCAAATATGTTGTGAAAAAGGACAGGAAACACAGGTGTTCTCTATAGTTTCTTCTTGGTCAAAACACTCCACATTTATTCCTCGACATATATCAACTCTGTCCTAACAGGCAATATTCTATGAAGTATTTTCCATAAAAAGAGTGCCCACTTAGGAGGTATATTGAGATTCCAAATCTTCTTCCAGCACCAACTACTCACTCCTATTCCTTCCAATCCCTGAGCCGAACCCTCCTACAACCATAAAGTAGCCTGTTTTAACCGAATACTGACCATCCTTGCAACCTTTCAATACAACACATTAAGTTTAGTCTCTACTTATACACTCACCTTCTAAATAGATTTATGAATATTTTTTCTGACTATGTATCTTATTATTTCTTGCTATTAATTTTTTACACAAAATAAGTTGTCAAAGTCATGTCCAGTCGGTCCAGTGAGCCGAATATCAAAATAAATAAATAAAGCTTAATAATATACTTCAAAAATTCTTTTGGTTATTATCAATCAGCTGTGAGTTGGATACTTTAGTATGGTGTTACAGTTAGATCTTAAGTGATTTCTAATGGGTCAAGTTTCTACACGAGTCTATTCTCTTACCTCTCATCAATGTTATAGTGTGAGTTAAGATATAATAGAAATAAAGTAATATAGTAAATAAAAAAAGAGTACTACTATTAGCACCTATCTAATTTCTTTGCACCCTCCAATTCTAACCCTTTTTTTTTAATTACAATTATACCCTAAACTAAAATTATATTAAAGGACAACTTTTAATGCAACACCCACCCACCAAATGAAAACAATTAGAATGACACTCTACAATATTGTACACCCACCTCCATCCCCATCTATACATATTCCTTATCAATCTAAACCCTAATCGTATTCTTCTTCATTACCATCCTAAACCCATGTATTCATCTTCAATGAAAAACATTTGAAACCACCTAATCAATTAAGGTTTTGTTTGGTAGTTTCAAATGTGCTCGGTGTTCTAAATCAGTTAACGTTGCAAACAATCTTATTACAGATTTTGAGTTTCTACATTTGTGGTCGTTTTCACCATTCGTTGATACTTATATTGCAATGAAGGAGGATGACAACAACTTTGATGAGGTTGGTGTTGCATTGGTAAGTTTATCTAGTTGCATTTACGATTCTGGGTTGTTTTTGGTTCGATATTAGTTTGCCGACTATTAAGGTTCAATTCAGTAATACAGTGCTGAACAGAAACATTTAGTTCAGTAATACAGTGCTGAACATAAACATTTTGTTCAGCATTAGAATACCAAATGGTTTCATTTTGTAGAATTTTCCCCCATTTCTGTTTTTTTCTGAGGGTTGTTTCCCCTAAAAACCCCTGTATAGAGAGTTTAAGCCCGAAATAAACAAAAAATAATACGTGATGAGGACTTGGAGGTTGCTTGAGAGAAAAAGAAAGAGAAGGTCGAAGAGATTTTCCAATGAGATTTTCGACTGAGATACCGTCGTTCACAATGACAAGGAGAAAGAGACCATTGTTTATGAGAGAAGGAGAGTAGAGAGATAATCAATTCGTCTCTCAATCATTTGTTGTTCTCAATTGTCTCTTAATCGTTCATCGTTTACTAAGAGAAGAAGAAGAGAGGGTGTGCAAAATTACGTGAGTGTGCACTTGGGTGTGATAATATAATGAATATAGGTAAAATTGGTATTAAGTGAAGTGTTCAAAGAAATCTTATTAAAATTTAGGGTTTAAGGTAGGGGTTCAAATAAATGAGGAGTCCAACGAAATTAGGTAAATACTAATAGTAGCCCTCTAAAAAAAATGTCAAGTCTCCCCCTTCCTTTTTTACCCCTCCTCTGTGTTAGCTATAAAGAACATGGCTAATGGGATGGTTAAAAATTTATTAAATTGTGTTATATAACAAAAAGTGGAGCTCAATTTTGTGTCAAGTGTTTGTTAATTTAGAGAGTGAGTGAGTAATGTGTGTTGAAGTATCTTATGTAAGTAGGGTTTACTTGCTTGTGTATAAATATGTATATATATATATATATATATATAAAATATTATAAATAAAAAAATGATTATAATATTTGGAAAAGTATGTTATTGATTAGTCTCTCGCTCCATTTGTTTTGATGTAAGCTATTTTTGTTAAAAATATTTTACTTATTTTTCATTGCTTTGTTGAACAAAAAGCAAGTAAAACATTTTTTAAGAAAAATATTTTTGCATTATTTTGTTAAGAATGGCTTATCTTTAAAAATTTCGTAAGTCAATTTTTATAAAGTTGACGCTCACTTACTATCTTTTCAATACATTTCGCCTTTTCAAATATATATTTTAGCTAACTAAAAAATCTTAAATGACATTTTATTGAATCAAAATTTATTTATTAGGCAATGAAATATTTTTATTTTAAGTGTCAACCAAACATTAAAAAATAAAAAAAAAAATCTATGTAAAATTATTTTATAAAAAAAATACTTTTTTATATAAAATATTTTACGTCTAAATAAATGAAATTTTGACAAGCTCATTGGAGTATGTTATCCGATCCCATAACTTATTAGAGGGTCAGTGGAGATGTTCTTAACTTGTTAAGTAGAGGTTATTTTGGAAATTATTGTTTTTTTGATATTTTGACTTTTTTTATAAAAGTACATGTAAAAAATTAAAAAAATAATTAATTTTTTAATAATATTTTTTTGACAATTTAACTATTTTAATATGTCCCCAAATGCTTTAAATGAAATTGGTGGGTGCTCTCAAGTACGGTTTGACAAAAGTCGTGTGATATTTTTTTTTAACACAAATTGTATATTAGAGGAATAATTTACACAAAAAAAAAAAAAAAAAAAGTGTTGATAGGAATCTCAAAAGAATTATTAAAAATTTTACACTATTTATATGAATGTAGAACAAGCATTACATGAGCCCCACATCCATATGATAATTAATTTTTAGCAAAATTTTTAAGGTCACTAACATTTTCACACCGTCATAATTTTCAAAATTTGTTGGTGAGTCCAATGCCTGCCAAAAAAAAAAAAAAAAACAAAAACAAAATAATATTGTGAAATTCTTAAATGTACTCAAGGAAAAGATTATGGGTTGTTTTGGGAAGTTGGTAAAAAGTTGACTTTTAGCTTTTTATCAAGTTTTTTGGCTTTTTTAGAAGTGATTTGGGAAATTGATAAAAAGCTGACTTTTTGCTTTTTAGTTTAATATTTATTTATGGTGTCAAATCAAATTAAAATGACCAAAATACCCTTACCCAACATAAGAGATTTATTTTTAAAATTTTTTTTCATAGGCCATAATTTGTAATTTTACGGTTGCGTTTTTGGCCCTTGCCAAATGGCTTTTCTGGCGTTTTTGGCAGCCACGTTTTTGGACATTTTGTCAAAAAACGTGGCTTTTTACCATGTTCCCAAAATGATTATATATATATATATATGTGTGTGTGTGTGTAGGGTATTTTGAGAAGATGGTTAAAAATAAGTTTTTTGACTTTTTTTTTTTGTTAAACGTGTAAAAAATGTAAAAGATGATGTGATTCAAAATGGATTAAAAGTTGAGAAGTGACTTTTAACCCACTTTTGGATTGAGGATATGATTTTTTTTTTTTTTGTGCATGTGTACATAATTTGATATTTCTTTTATTTGCAGAAAAAAGAGTTTATTTTGATGAATTAAATGGTACAAACGATACAACAAAATTATATCAATATAAGAAACGAAGAAAAATAAAGCAGCCATCGTTACCAAACAGCATATCCCAATAACTAATTAATCAAATCCAAAGCCCAAAACCCCAAACTACGGATGCAACTCGACAGGTTTAGACAAGTTGAAAGCCTATTCAACCCAAGTCCAGATCCTCTAGATTGATCTCTCTTCAGTAAGATCTAATGACTGATATTAAGAGAAATCAAAACGATGTCGTTTCAATTAATACCCCAAAAAACAATTAATACCCAAAAAAAAAAAAAAAAACAATAATGCAAAAACAACAGCGCATAATGAAGAGGGAGAGAGAGGAGATCGCCGGTACATCACCAACCTTGCTCTCGTTGGCCAGCGGCCACCTTTCCCCCACCCTTACAGACCGTCACCAGTCACTCACGCTTTTCCTTTGATCACCCATTGCATCCCGCACTCTTCTTTCTTCTGCTCATCTTCCCCAAAACCCTAGATCTAGCCCAGCACTAAGAGATCAAACCCAACTTCACCACCACCGATGGCTAGAGATGGTGGGAGATGGGTAGTCACTGGCGGAAGGGTCGAATTCCTTCCGATTCACTGGTGATGGCGGTGGTGGCTAGGGGTGTTAAAAAAAAATCGGTGGAATTGGTATATAAACCCAATTCGGTCCAAACCGTCAATTCAGTCTAATTTTTTTAGTTGCAGTTCTGGTTCTTATTTTGAAAATGGTAAAACCGTTCAATTCGGTTTGGTTCTCGATTCTAAGACTTTGGTTACAGTTCCAAACTGGATCGGATCGTAAAATATTTGTTTATTATTTTTTTATTTTTATATAAAAATTACATTTCGATTACGGTTTTAATTTTTCTGTGACGGTAAGAAATGGTTCGATTCTTAATTTACTCTAAAACCGGACCATTTAGATTCATGTACACCCTAGCAGTGGCTAGACCCAAATCGTTTTCCAAACAACAATGATGTCTTTTTCTTTTTGAAACCCACAGCCGACAAATTCCGCCGACCCACCCCTCTTCCCCCCTCCCCATTTGTAGTGCCACCACTACTTGAACATTCGTCTCCAACAAAATCGAAGGGTGTAGCGTGATAGAGATCACAAAGGTTGCCAAAATTCACTCACACAAGCTTGGGTTGCTCAACATAGATTTGGGTCATCGCCGTTTTGCCATGGGTCTCACCGTTCGGTCGTGTGTCTCATCTTTCACCTTGGGTTTTGCGTTGTTTGCCGTGAGTCAATGTCATTCTACTAGAGCTAGATCGCGACAGGGGTTGCTAGTAAGAGATTTGTGAAGAGAAGGAAGAGAGAGATCTCTTTGATTTTATTTATTTTTATTTATATTTTTGCATTAAGTAAAACAAAATCATTTTGACCAAATGACATCGTTTCAATAGACTGTAGGAAAGTTCTAGAGAGAACTCTAAAAATCCTAATGCATTCAAGCCTAGCCAAGTTCTATTAAGAGTAGTTCAAACTTGCCCAAGCCCAACTTGCAATCCAAATTTGTTTGCTCAAGTCCAAACTGAGCTAAGCTCGAATTATCTGAATTGCACATAGATTCAAGATTTTAATTTTTAGGTTGATTAATTTATTAAATTAAGACTCTATTAACATTTTTTTTTTGATAAAAAAGTAAATAGTTTATATAATATGAGAGAGATGGAGAGGAGAGAAATAAGAATTAAAACCGATGTGCCATTACAATGGTTTGCAATTTAATATACAAAATAAACATGATCTAATGATCTAAATTATTTAACATCAATAATTTATATGTATATTTAAGTATTTGATATATATATATATATATAATTCGAGCTTCAAGTTACCTAGTGTCTCTGTCCAAGTCAATTCAAATTTAATTCAAGCTTTTAAATTTCTACCCTAACTCTTACCGAACTTAAACGTATATTGCTCGAGTCCTAAAAAATTTTTAGATTGACCTTGAATTGCTTAAGTTGAGCCCCCTCAATTACACTTCTAAATCAAACAACCAACACAAGAAGCCAATATCAGACCAAACAAATGAGAACAATGCAAAACTCCAAACAAACAATAGACAACTTTAGCCCTCAAAGCACCAACACAATTAACTCTACAAAGAAGTGGCAACAAACCAGGCCCATCAGGAGCCCCGAAGAGAATGGCAACAAGAGGCCCAAATTCCATATCAGCAACAACCCAAGGCCAAATATCAAGGCATTGACATCCAAATGATTAGTAACAGCAAATTGAGATCTAGACTAATAATCCACCAGGACAAATATCCCCCAAATAAGAGACTATTGAATCCTAAGAGCAAGAGTAGGATACAAAATGTGAGATTAAAGAGAAGTTTTGACTAATTTATTAAATTATATAATTGATAAGATTTTGTCAATCTCTCCTTATAATCCCGAGTCAATCCAAATATAAGAGATGATACACAATTCAAAAGAATTGATAATCCCAAAACTACAATATTAAAAAAGTTAAATCACATCTAATCCAAACCACTCAAATAAACATAATCATAACTATACAACCAATAAAGGCAACATATTTCTATCTGCAATTGTCAAAATATTTGCAGTATGCTGGCATAAAGCTTGATCTGCAACACTAGAAACTTAGAACCCATGAGGACTATATGAAATTAATTTAGAATTTATTAATTACATATATTGAAAGGTTGAGTTCATTACGGTCTTGAAGAGTGAAGGGTAGGGTCACTTAATTAGGTTCAAAGTGTCTTGATTGTATGTGAATGTATGAATTAATTGTTAGTCTTAGATGTATCTAAAAATCACTATATAAAGTGACATGTGATCATTTGAGGATGTATGAGGAAGAAGAAGAAATTTAGAAGTAAAACTTAGTTAAGTTCTAAAAAGATATTTGAGCCTCTCAAGAGCTCTATACGGCCTTTGGGCCGTAGATCTCCACAAATCTCTAGTTTATCTTCTTCACACACGTCATATTGAGTTTTATGTATGGCTTGTTAGTATCCATCATATTATGCTAGCTTCTAGAAATTCATGATGAGTTCCTAGACAAAACAGAACAGTATTATTTTTAACATAGTATGAATCAATTTTTCCAGTCTAGATATCTCCAAAGAAACCCTATGTATAGATTTTGCTTGTACATGTTTTACTTGAATTTGTTTTCAGAAATTACCTTGGTGACATCTTCTTCTGAGTATATAAACCAAGATGTCAACATGTGCTTTTCAACTTTCATAATTATCCTGCAAAAACCACAAAATCAAAGACAATAAATAAATACAGAAAAGAAATCCTTTTGTAGGTAGTGAGGATGAAATGTATCTGATGATTTTATTCAAGTTGGTACATAAGGGTGATTGGGGGCAGATTAAGCACTTCCTTGAGCTACACCCTGATGCACTGAGTGCCAAAATTTCATCTTATGGCGAGACAGCCCTCCACATTGCAGCCCTATCTGGACACGTAAAGATTGTGGAGGAGTTAGTCAATATGACAAGCGTAGAAGATTTGAAACTTATAAATGATTACGGTGAAACAGCTCTTTCTCTTGCTGCTGGAGGTGGAATCACAAGGGTTGCCAAGCCTTTGGTGAGAAAGAATCATGACTTGCTAGGGATTAAAAATATTAATGGTGTCATCCCTGTTGTTGTGGCTGCTCAATTCGGCCATACAGATATGGTACATTTCCTTTACTATATGACTCAAGAGGAGGACCTAGATCCTGAAACAAGCAGCCAAGGTGCTAAGCTTCTTATTACTTGTATTGTTGCCCAAATATATGGTAATAAAATTTAAATTCTCATTAATATTTAGCAAAAATTTAACTAGCAAGTAGTTTTACTGATTCCCTTAAACGTATGTGTTGGCAATACCATAGATATTGCTTTGGATCTGGTACTATGGTTCCCAGAATTGGCTACTGCCGTATTGGAGGGACATACTGGTGGAACACTAAATACATTGGCTACTAGAAACTCAGCATTCCCTAGTCGAACTCAGTTGGTGTGTTGGAAAAAATGGATCTACTCATGTGGGTACTTTTATTCACTCAACTAAACTTTTATTCTTGGTCTACTAGTTTGCAGGTTCCATCTAAACCCCTTATACTGGGGAAAGACAACCCAAACTTTGAATTTAATTCAGATAAAAGAGAGAAAATAACAAACTTCATGTTGAATGGGTATATGCTAGTGAATAGTATTTATCCAATCAGAACAAAAATGATTTCAAACAACTTTAGGAGTTCAAATTATAGACCTGAAATCATTAGTTTTATTATTTTGAATTCCCCCCATTATTTTCCCCCCCCCCCCCTCTTTGATTATGAATATATTTGAAAGCACTACTGACAAAGTCCTTTGTTGAAAGGCATGCCGGTACATTCATCTCGTGTCTCCAACATTCACAGAGACATCGAAGCATATCCTGGAATACATACTTACCATGAAAATATCATTAAACGAGGTATATTCAGAATATCATAAGGATCGTACATTTTGAAAAATGTGATTATCTTTTGGAGAACACAAGATTCTAATGGTTGTATGCTTGCAGCACTCCGTCATTCGTATGGACTAGTATGGGATCTCCTAAAACTCCTAGGTATATGAAGAGTACATTCACTTCAATCCTCTTTTGAATTTTTTTATGTAGGTCTTTAACTTTGTTTTGATTGCAGTCCCCTACATCAAGCATATATATGTCATAAAATTAAAACATGCTCAAGTCCTTGAGTTGTTGGACTGCATTTCCCAACATATATCAGCTTTGAATCATTCACAAATAAAGGATACAGAATTATTTCAAGCAGTATTCAATGCTATTAAGCATGGGAATGTTGAGTTTGTCGAAGAGATCCTCACAGCGTATCCTGATATCATATGGATTGTCGATGAGGATATGCGCAACATATTTTTATATGCAGTTCTGCAACGGCAAGAAAAGATTTTCACCCTTTTACATAAAATGGGGCCAAAAAAGAACATAATAGCAACTAGCTTGGACAGAGATAGCAACACCATCTTACATCACGCGGCAATGCTATCACCTTCTTCTCATCTTGATGGCATTTCTGGTGCAGCTTTGCAGATGCAGAGAGAGTTACAATGGTTTGAGGTGACCCACACACATTTTCCACATCTTTGAATCCTTTTTTTATTTTCTTTGGGTCTTGCAAACAAATGTCCTTGGAGCACAAGAAAAAGACCCAAAAATTAAAAAACACGAGACACTTTTCATTGAATTCAATGCACCTTTTATTTTTATTTTTATTTAAATGAATACACTTTTTTAACATTTTTACCTATTTTCAAGACACTATTGACCTTAATCCCAATATTAAACAATGCCCCAAGGGCACTCTATAGCATTTGCCTTTTTCTGTTCTTATTTTTATTTGGGGGTAAGTGTTAGTTGTGCCATCAAAATTGCAGGAAGTAGAGAAAGTTGTTCAACCAATGTATAGAGAAATACAAAATAATTATGGTAAGACGGCTCGCGCTTTGTTTACTTCAGAGCACAAGAACCTGAGAAGAGCAGGGGAGAAATGGATGAAGGAAACATCAACATCGTGCACTGTTGTGGCTGCTCTTATCGCTACTGTTATGTTCACAGCAATCTTCACCGTGCCAGGAGGTTATGATGGAACAACGGGGAATCCCTTGTACTTGCATCAAAATTCATTCATGGTTTTCGTAGTATCAGATGCTTTGTCCTTGTTCACTTCTTCTAGCTCAGTACTGTTGTTCCTAGGAATCCTTAAATCGCGCTACACTGAAGATGAATTCCTTATGTCCTTGCCAAGGAAACTAATAATGGGTATCGCTTCCCTTTTCTTCTCTATAGCGACCATGATGCTAACCTTTGGCACTACCATATTTATCTCCCTTCATGACCGATTATCATGGATTTCCATCCCTATCATTTTGTTGTCTAGCATTCCAGTTATGGTTTTTGTATTTCCTCAAGTTCCACTCCTTTATGAGATTTTTGTTTCGACATATGGACCTGGCATCTTTAAAAAACCAAAAAAGGGTTAGTTCTGAAATGTTTCCCTTTATGAATATTCCTAATAATCGACTATGCGTGTATTAGATTGAGAGTATGAACTCTGGCATTTATTTAAAGAAATTTTTAGGCATGTAATGTCATTTTTATTATATTTTTACTTTTGTCTTGTATTTGACGTATTTATTTATTTGTTCTTGAGTTGTTTGTGCTATCACACATGCCTTTTACTTCACAAGTAAAATCAGATGTGTGTTAGTGATGCCAATTTGTGGACAAAAGCACTTGAATTTAATCTCTATTAATGGGACTTTAAAGTTAGTTTGGAAGTTTTTTTTTTTTTTTTAAAAATTGAGCCAGCAACAAAATTGAGGTACAAGAAGTCAAAGCAGTGCCTGATGTACAAGTGGCTGAAGCAGAATTTGGGAAATTACATGGGCCCATTGAGCAGAATCATGGGTCGCTTGAGCAGGTTGTACATGCACTTATATATGCTTTCATCAGTTCTATCCAAAAAGCTGATCTTCGTCAGCTTGATGGCCACTTGGACTAAATGCAATGTTTTCTTATGTATTGTTGTTCATTCATGCTTCGAATACTCTGTTGAATTGGGTTTTGATCATCCTAGGTATAAACACAAATCTAGCAGGAAACCAAAACAAGCTTGGAAAAATTACAAAGAGGCCTTGTGTTGCAGAGCTAAAAATTGATCAATATCTGAGCTTATTTATTTATTTATATATTAAACTACTTTCATGAGTTGGTGATCGTCTAAGTAGATACTAGAGATTTCATATCAAGAAGTTAGTAAACTGGTGATTCAAGAACTGGAGGAACGGTATACATGGATTTAGCATGATCACTTAGGTCCATTGATTGAAGATCAAACAGGGTATATACCAGTGTATTCTTTCAAAGAAAAAAACAAACACCAAAGATGTGATACATGTGTGCTCCTATACTGAGATTCTAAACAGTGTTTATATGGGAAAATGTGGCAGTGAGATATGATATAGTAACCATATTTTCTTGTAGACGTAAACACTGGACGACGAAGGATTGTGAACACTTGGGTTGAATCTTAGAGCTATTACACTTCATTTGTACCTTCGCATGAGGAGAAACACGCCTCCTCACAAACCAGCTTTTCTGTCTGCAATTTATTGTGTTAGTTTGCATGCTTTGAACTCACATGTTTATTATTTTATTGGTTTAATTTTGTATGCATAGTTTCTAATTATAGTAGATGTTCTGACAGGACAGACCAGGTGTATTATACCTGTCAAATCTACTACAAAATTTCTCCACATTGGCTCCTCAAACTAGCCGTTTAGCATAGAGAGTTAGCTGAGTGAGTGAAATTCTAGCTTAGATCCCATTTTTGAATGAGGACAAGGACCAATTTGGCAGTGTGTAAGGGTTGCTAGATTGCCCTGGATGAACTGAGGATGAAATATGAGTCAAGCAGTAAGCTAATGCCACTTTGATAGACTAGGAAAGATAAATGACTTCGGAATAATTTATATTGAAGAGGGCATCTTTGAAATTTTGCCATAAAAGTATTATTCCAGGATAAAGTGGTTTTAACTGCTAAGATTTTAGTGGCAATGGCCTGAAATATGGCTCTTCCTCAATAGCAAGAACAACAGTAGAACTCATCGCATGCACTTCTCAATCTCACAAATTATCACAGGCTATATGTTCCCTACCAACATTAGCTACTCTTAAATTAGACGTTTTGCATAACTGTGAATGGATCTTCCCCCTTACATCAATCAAATATGTTGGATCATTTTAATGATTTTTTTCACTTCTCATTACAAGCATAGTCAATGACTAATTTCATTGAATCCTGTAGTTCAATAACCCCTAGATTCTTAGTATTGCAAGCATATCAATAACAGATGCCCTGTCTCCCGCAAGGTTTGGAGAATATACAATTAGTAAGTAAGAAAATATATTTGCAATACTAAGAAAATACAGTTACTAGTTTTTCTCAATAAGAGTTGGGTTTGGAGAAAATAAACTTAGCTCCACACTTTTAAGATAATTACACCTGCCTCCCTCGAGGTTTTAATTCACATAACACTTAGGTCATTTTCCATCAATAATTCGTGAGTCATATGGATGCAAAGATGATGTCATCATATCTTTTCTACTGAAATATATACTTACATGTTTATTTAAGTGTCTATCCATCATCTGCATTAGTTTTGATCACTTTAACCTTACTAAAAGGAGGACAATGTACTTATGTCAAACTTGTGGAGCTAACTGTATTTTTTCTCAAACCTCAGGGGATGTTAGTGTAATTTACCTTAAACTTTACCAAGCTTAATTGATAGATGTGGCATGCAATAATAAAATTTTAATTTTCAAAATGGGACTCACTAAATGATATGATAGAAACAACTCATGTAAGTAAGAAAAATTTGCAAAATTTATTAGTTTGTATAGCATTACTCGTGTAAGAAAAACTAGGAGCAGAGTAAGAATATTGACAGCTTGTCTGCCATCAAGAAGAAATGTAAGAATATTGGCTAATGTTAGTTTTTCCCATTTAACCCTTCATTTTCTTTTTCCTTTGCAAATCCCTTTACGAATCCCAGAAGGAACTAGACCATCCTATGGAACTAAAATTGCAACAAGATGTGCATGCAGTATTTTAACATTGTCATGTGGTAGTAGATTTTTTTGCTATTCTGAAACATTAGCCACCAACCAACCTACTTCTGTATAAAATATTAAAATGGTTGAACTATCCCAGGAGATAATAGAGGCCAACTGACTTACATAGTTTTTCTGTCAAAGTTAGGTTTTACTAGACTTTGGCAAACATTTTAGTGTCCTTGAATTGGCACGAATGATGTCTCCATACCACATTGCAAGCTGTAAAAAGTAACTACTAAAAATTAGACAACAATTTTATGATCCAGCATCTTCACTAAAACTTCTCGTAATTGAGAAATGGGCACAACATATTAACAGGACATTTTATTCTGCTCGATTGCTATTATGATCAAGTGAACAAATGAATCTGCAATTCGTTTGTTTGTTTTTTTTCCTGACAACCTTAATAAATATTTGCTGTGCTACAATTTAAAATTACAAGAACAATGCATAATATTTCATTGCATTTGCAGCATACTTATCCAAGATGTCATACCTCTGGATGGATGCATCAGCTTCAATCCAGCTACATCCAGCCTTCTTCTTCAACCCCATACTTCTCATCACGTCCCGAACCACATTAGCATCTTCCCACCTCCTGGAACTAGCATATGTGTTGGATAACAAAGCATAAGTTCCAATGCTCACACCTTTAGTGGTAGGAAGACAACGGGTGATTCGCCCAAACATCTCCTCATTCCCATGAATTCTGCAGGCATTAAGGAGTGCTCCCCAAACCGTTCCATCTGCTTCCACAGGCATTTTTTTTATGAAAGCCTCTGCTTCCTTCAAGAGCCCTGCTCGACCATACATATCAACAATGCAAGCATAATGCTGCACTTGGGGCTCAATTCTATAAACATCAGTCATGGCTTTGAAGAACATCAATCCTTGATCAATCATCCTCCCATGACTGCAAGCTGATATCAAGCCAATAAAGGTTACATCATCAAGAGGTACTCCGTGAATTAACATTAGTGAGAAGAGCGGCAAAGCATGCACACCAAGGCCATTCATGGCCATTCCGCTAATAATAGTACTCCATGACACTATATCCTTATACATAAGCATGTTAAACACCTGAATTGCCATACCCATATTGCCACACTTAGCATACATGTTAATCAAAGCATTCCCCACATTGCCATCCACCATAAGATCATGTCGAGTGCTCACATACTCATGCACCCATTGACCCAAACTCAAGGCACTAAGAGAAGAACATGCCGACAATACATTGACTATAGTGGCCTCGTTAGGTTCAGCTTCTCTTCTTAGTAACATATCCTGAAAAATCCCAACTGCCTCCTCACAAAATCCTGTGTGCGCAAAACCACCCACCATTGCAGTCCAAGAAACCACATCTCTCTTAGGCATTCTCACAAACAGATAATGAGCAATCCTTAAAGACCCACATTTTACATAAAAACCCAATACTGCATTATCCAAAATGACATTATCTTCAGTCAAATTCTTTAAACAATACCCATGAATAGCTTTACCAAGCTTAACAGCTCTTATGCTAGAACATGCAGATATAACACTAACAAGTGTAGTAGCATTAGGCTCAACGTCCATGGACAAAAACTTAACAATGGCTTCCGATTCAAAGCCACGCTTGGAAAGCCCAGAAACAATCGATGTCCACGAAACAATATCAGGGTAAAGAATGGCATCAAAGACTCTGCAAGCATCAACAATGTGATTTTCAAGGACATAGAAGTGAATTAAGCTGTTTTGGATGAAGATATCAGAAAAATGACCAGTTTTGATGGCACGGGCATGGATTTCAAGACCCTTTTGGAGAGCATGCAGTGAGGAACAAGCCTTGAGGGCATGAGTGAAGGTGAAGTGGTTATGGGAAGAAGGGTGGTGCAGCATTTGGTTGTAGAGAATGAGGGCATCTTGTGGGTTGGTTGAGCGTGTCAAGGAACCCAGAAGCAAGTTCAAGGTGTAGGGTGTGGTTGATTTCAGTATGTGGGCATGGATCTGCTTTAGTTGTTTCAGTGTGAGAGTGGGACTCACAGACTTTATTATTGGCATATTCTATTTTTGAGTGATTTGATCCATCAGTCATGGGGCAAATTAATGTTGCATGGAGCCATCAAAATCAAAATTTGATGGTCTATATTGGAAACAATAATATTTAATTCACAAAAAAAAAAAAAAAAACACCCCCTAAATTATTTGAGCACAAAACACACCCAGGCTCCCCCCACTCTCTCTCTCTCAATAAGACCTACAGGCATAATTTGCAAGAAAACTAGGCACTTCAAAGACACAAGATTTGGAAGTATTCTATATCCTCACCATCTATATAATAACACAGAAGGGTTTTTCAAAATATATAAAATGTATTAGATATATATTTCATTTGAATGGCTGAGATGAATTTTAAACTTATATCAATAGTTCAGATCAATGATGGGTCCTGCCCAAATATTTCACATCCCACCTACCCACGTCTGCCCCGCCCTCCACCTTCCCTCTCTATCTCTCTCTCACTCTTTGTTGTTGTTCTTCTTCTTGAACAGAACCAAAAAAACCCATCCTTTCTATCACAACTGTTCTTCTTCTCACCCTTTAATTTTAGCTATCATTAAAATTTAGGAAAAATTATCCCAAAAAAAAATAAAATTAATATTTGTAACAAAATAATTTAGGGTAAATTACACTTACACCTCCTGAGATTTGGATTTAATACATATTACCCCTGACGTTTGGGAAATTACACTAACCCCCCGTCATTGTAATTATCTAGACGGAATGAAGACATTGAACTCATGCACTCTCTTTTTTTTTTTGCTTTGCTTTGCTTTACTTTACTTTCTCTTTTTTCCCCTTTCCTTTAACTTTTTTTTTTAAATAAAATTTCCTCTGTTTTTTTATTAGGAGTCGTTACTTTTTATATAAGCAGGGGGTTTGTGAAATGAGACTATTAACTACAGGGGTGGAAATGTAATTTTTAAAACGTTAGGGATGGGTAGTAATTGGACCAAACTTCAAAGGGTGTCAATGTAATTTTCCCATTAAATTCTGAGTTTTTAATTTTATCAATTTAAATATTAAATTTCTGATTTTTTTTTTAATCTAAACAATTTGCAAATTTTCAATCTAAACAAAATAAACTATTTGCATATTTTACTAAATAATAAATAATAAATAAATATCATTAGCAATCCAAGTATTTGTCGGTGAAAAGAAGTAGTCATCAGTCCTTTGCAGCGTCTGTCTTTCACATATTTTTTTGCATTCTTATTAAAAAAATAATAATATATCAACACATTTTGCATTCCTATTAAAAAAAAAAATAATATATCAGCACAATTTGAATAGCACATAAAATAAATAAAGATGTGATAGTGGCAAAGTATTTGAATGCGCAACACAATCAAGAAAACCCACCATTCTCTCTTCCTTACTCTATTTTTTTTCAATTTCCTTTTAACAGAGATGAAGAAATAGTCCACGAATTATGAGTGAAAATTTAAATTAGGTTATAGATATTAAATTAAATAAAAATAATGACCCGTGAGAGACATGCGGGTTAAAGAAAATAAAAATAAAAATAAAAATGTTAAGTATTGTGTAGTCCACTCCCAAAAGCAACCAAGCTCTTCTTTTTAACAGGCCACACAAACCAATGTCAAGACCCACGCCTGACAATACAAAAAAGAAAAACAAATGCGTACCAGTTTAAGGTTTAGAAACACCAACCCAAATAAATTGAAAGTTACATAAATAAAAAAATGAAAAAGAAACAGAACACAAAAAAAAAAGAAAAAAAAAAGAGAAACCCAAATACATAACAGTTTAAAGTTTAGAAACACAAATCCAACACAAACACATCAATTTAAGGTTTAGAAAAACAAACACAAATCCAAATCCAAATCTTAAAAACACAAACCCAAATTGATGCATCTCTCATGAACCTAAACCAGAGCTCTCTCTCTCTTTCATGTTGATTGCAGTGGCTCAGGAGGTTGTTCTAGTGCTAGTGTGGTTACTAGATTTGAGCTCATCGTCGAAAATCAAGCCATTTCTAGGGTTTCGACCGTCGTGGGTGAAAGAGGAGAGTAAAGAAGAAAAAAAAGAAATAAAAAAATAAAAAAATAAAAAATAGATAAGAAAAAAGAAATGAAATAATTAATATGTAAGAAGAGAAGAAAAGAAAATAAAATGAAGAAAAAGAAAAAAAAATAAGAGAAGAAAAGAAGAGAATAAAAAACAATTAAGAGAAGAAAAGAATAGAAGAAAAAAAAAAGAATGGAGAGAAAAGAAAATAAGGAGAAAAAGAAAAGAAAATAAAATAAAATAAAATGAAGAAAAAAAAAAGAAAAAGATAATAAAGAAAAGAAATATAGAAATAAATAATTAAAATGAATATAAAAAATAGAATGTAATGAAATCACAACATTAATATAAAGGAAAATTTACCCATAAGTCCTAGTTTTTGAAACGTTGAACCATTTAGTCCTAAAAGTTTTCTTATGCTCCATTTAGTCCCATTTTTACATCAACATGATGTGAATGATGTAAATGATCTGATGTTTCATTCTATAATTTCAAAATTTATTGAAATCTGATGAACATTAGATGTTTTTCATCCTACATTTTCAAACATTATTGAAATTTGATGAACATTAGATGTTTGAAATTCAATGTTTGTAACATGACTTTGATGTTATTAACATTGTATCTGATGTTATTAACATTGTAATGTGACCTTTCAGTCTATAAGAAAACTTTTAGGACTAAACAGTGCATAAGTTATTAATTTGGGATTTATTGGTGCATCCCCCTAATATAAATTAGAACATGAATATTAATTGGTATTAATTGTGATGAATTAATAAATTAAACAAAATTAACAAAGAAAGGAGAGAAGAGAAGAGAAGAGAATGGGAAAAAAAGAAAGAAGAGAAAAGAAAATAAAATGAATAAAAAGAAAAAAATAAAATAATAAAGAAAATAAATATAGAAATAAATAATCAAAATGAATATAAAAAAATAAAATGAAAAAAGGGCAAAAAGGACATTATACAGCAAAAAACTATTTTACAGTTTATTCAACCAAACACTACTTTGCTGATTTGAAACTATAATCCCATAGCTGCACCAAATAAGTTAACAACTTATGTTTAAAGCTATAATTTATAATCTGTTAAATCATAATCCATAATCACTTTTCCACAATTTTACCAAACAAGGCTTATATGCATGTGTGTTTTGTTGCTTCAAGCAGCGATAATCTAGCAATTGATTTGCTTCAAAATCCATAGCCTCTTGCTTGTATGCAAAGTGGCTCTGTTCAAGAAGAAATTTTTGGAAAGCACATTTCAAGAGATGGGTGGGTAACCCCTTCTAGGATGCATATGGTGTGCAACCCACATGTAAACCATTGGATTGTAAAAATTGGTGTTTGTCATTGGAATGCTTCACATCATATAAAGATTTTACTAAATTTTTTACTTATACAAGTTGGAGACGGCATTAGTTGTTCTAACACTGCAAAAGTAGGACTGATAAGTGCTTTTTCCTAAAATTTCTTTCCCATTTTTTCTTGACAGCCAAATGAAAAAACTTTTTTAGCATTTCCATCAAGGACAATAATAGAGAATCAAACCGTTTATAGTATATATTTTAGTATATATTGTATAGCTGCGATAAAACATAATTAATGTGATAGAGCATAATCAGTGGTTTAGTGGGTCCTTATTTTTTGTTTCCAATTATAGCTTGTAATTGATGTATAAATAGGTTTCCTCCTTATGAGATGAATGTAGTAAGAAAATCTTCTTTTCCTTCCCAACTCTCTTGACACGGTATCAGAACAAAAAATTTGGGACTAAAATTTTCTTCACAACCTCATCTCCACAATTTGCATCTCCACAACCTCATTGTATTTTTTTTTTCGCTGGGACTTTCTACTATTATGGGTGACACTACAGTCAATAAAGATACCTTCAAAGACTCTCTCTTTTTCGGATCCATGACTAATACACCTTGAAGGGTTCTAATTACCTTCAATGGTCTTGTGCTATCGCTGTTTTTTTAAAAGACACGTGGCAAAGCCTCTTATCTTACAGCCACCAAACCTTTTGATGTAACCAAAGTTGCTTTATGGGAGCAAGAAGATGCACAAATCATGACCTGGTTGTGGAATAGTTTGGCACCAGAAGAATTTACTAATATTTCTTGTCTGGAATCCTCTAAATATATTTGGGATACCCTTAAGGAGTTATATTCCTTTGAGTAGAATCTTTCTCGAATCTACCGGCTCTATCAGGACATTTTTTCTATTCAACAAGGTGATCGTTCAGTTGAAAAGTATTTTTCTGTCCTTAAGGGTATATGGGATGAACTTAATATCTCTTAGCTGTTGATTACTAATTTGAAGAATCGGTAGCAACATTGGGAGGAATTCCAAGTTGCTAAATTTCTCTTGGAGCTTAATCCAAAACATGTTGCCACTAGTTCTCAGATTCTTTCTGGGAAAGACATTGTGGGAGTCGAATAAAGGGCAGAGTCAGAAGCGTACGCTTCGAAGGATGGATATTTGTTCGGCTCTAACCTGCACGATTAGGAGGCTGACTACAATTAACAGGACGAGTAACTATGGGGCCGAATAAATAAGCAGTTTGATAGCGGAAAGTGGACCAGGCCCCGAGGCCTTGGAAACGAATATAAATAGAGGAACAACAGTCAAAGAAAGGTATGTGAGAATTATTGTGCTCAACTTAAAATACAAGTAACCCTGAGTGCTGAAACTAACTTACCCGTCGGAGTGCTAATTCCGGCACCCCCGACTGGAGTGTTTATTATTTTCAGGTGACTTTCAGAGGATCACTAGTGTCCCCCAAGATCAGAAGAGTATTTCCAAACCACTTCTCCACAATTGGTGCCGTCTATGGGAATACTCAAACACATCCATGGCGGGTGTAACGGAAGACCCTCCGATAGTCATGCATGAAAACATGCAGAGAGACGACCTCACTCCAACAAACATGCTTGGACCGGAGACTATCCCTGCAAGATGCGCTTTGAACTTCACCTCACCCTCGACTCCAGAGCATGAGGCAATGTAGGCGATCATGGAACAAGCAAAGCAAAACGAACAGAGGTTGGAGAACATGATCGCAGAGAACGAACGTCTCCGTCAGGATTTGGCCTTGGAAGTGGCAAATTCCAAACAAGCTGTACGCCAAGATCCGAAACGACCGGTGAAGGCATGTGGTCGAGGATCTCGAGCCCGACAACAAGACACTGATAGTGACTCGGACTCATTATCCACGGAGCCCAAGAAGAAGGGACGATCTGAAACTTCCACTTCTTCTGAAGAGAGTCTTCGTATAAGGCATAAGCGAAGAAGAAACAATTCAGATGAAGATCA